CCGACATCGGTTGCACTGCAGCTGATCTTGTCTACGGAACCTCCCTACGACTGCCCGGTGAGTTAGTGTCTCCCTCAAACATGCTAACGTTTTTCGAACCTTGCAGTTATGTGGAGCGACTACGTAGTGCCATGCGCAATCTCCGCGCAACGCCCCCTCGGGCGTCACCGGCCAATTCCTTCATCCCACCCGACCTGGATAAGTGCGATTTCGTCTGGGTTCGGCATGACGCTGTCCGACGACCACTCCAACCACCCTATGACGGGCCGTATTAAGTCCTCCGCCGATCTGACAAAGATGTTGTCATCGAACGCAACGGCAAGACCGACACAGTCAGCATTGATCGCGTCAAGCCGGCGTTCATCGACGACAGTGACCATCCCTCACCCCAACACTGTACCCCGCCTCAGACACTGCGGCCTCCTCCACCTACTGGCGACAGCCCGCCTCCGGTTCGCCGCACACGATCTGGTCGCCACGTCCACTGGCCCGACAGGTTTGTGGCTGGCTAGCGTGTCGACGCCTTCACTTTGTTTGGTGTCTGGGGGGGAGTTGTAGCCGCTGCTCCAGTCCCCCTTTTCTCCGGCTCCGTTTTGTCGGTCGATGACCGCGGTAAGCACTGACAGGCCGCTGACGCACGACCACCCCCGCCGGCTAGAACTGGGACACCTCCGGTCCAGCAGCAGTGACTCCCGGCTGCACTCAAAAACTAGTATCGCCTAACGCGCGTCGAACGCTTTGGCTTGATTCCCGTGAGGCCTTGTGAGTATGCGCCCTCCACTCGTCCTCTAATTTGTCCAATCACACGACCACCACTCAGACAGTCAACCCCTCCTGCTGACCTAGACACTCACACCCGCGTAAACAACACACACCGCGACTGACGCTCTCCCTGAACGGACGCTTTTCTCTGTTGCAAGCAAACCGCCAACTTACGGCAACCTGCCCTGTGTACAGAATAAACTAGTCCTCACAGCTCCCTGACTTCTGACAGTAGACGAAACGAACTTATTGTGCGTGGTTTAAGTCGATCTCACATCCTTGACCGCCACACGAGTGCCCAGGTAAGAGGATATAAAATTCCAAAGTTTGCCACCTATTCCGAAAGTGGACAGTTTCAAGAGAAGAAGAGCATTGTCAACACAAACAAAGGCCTTAGTAAAATCTAAATATGCTGTGTAAAGTGCAAAACCATTGTTCCTAGATTGGAGGACATAGTCAAAGAATGAGAGTTGACAGGTGTCACAAGACCGAGCTTTGATGAATCCATGCTTATCGGCACTCAAGTGGTTACTGTGTGTTAAGTGACACATCATTTTATATTTGGTCAATTTCTCTAAGATCTTCGAAACTGCGGGGAGGGTGTTTATTGGCCGAAAGTCATAAAACGACGTGGATTTTCCGCGCTTAGGAATGTGCAAAATGTGTGATTCCTTCCACAAGGTAGGATAAGTTTCACTTTCAAGAGCAAGACTAAATATCTTGCGTAAGAGGGATGGGGAAATCGTATTTGCATTGGCTTTTAAGATGCTTACTGGGACACCATTCAGTCTTGGATTATAAGATTGACGAAAACGCCGAATCGCAACAGTCACAATCCACCGAGTGAAAGTTATGGTTTCTAGAACTGCTCCGGTCAATGACTGGATGGTCGGAAGCGGAGTGGTCGAGTCTTCAATAAACTTTTTGGACAGGAAATCATTGAAGCTATCAGCGGTTAACTGGGCATCAACTATGGGATTTCCGAGAGCGTCTCGGGGGATGGGATGCTGCGTCTTTCTATGAGTTCGTATTTTTCTAGAGAAAAGTTTCGAGACATTTAACGGATGGTTTTCGGTAAACTGGACCTCTTCGGCTAGCTGTTTTTCTTCAGATAGTCTCTTGGCCCGCTCAAAAATATCAAAAATCAAGGGCAGGACAGAAACGTCGTTCTGAAGATGGAATCGATGATAAAGCCTGCGCAATCTGCGACGAGCCGGTAAGGGTAAGAAAACATCATCCCCAACATTAATAATTTTCTTACGGGGGACACAACGAGAAATAAGCGGATCCAAAATTTCGTACAGTTTTGCAGTGCAAACATTTACATCCGAACTAAGGAAGAAATCAGTCCAGTCGTAGAAATTAAGGTGTGTTAATAATTCGGTTGAGCGAGTTGATCGGAAATCGCGGAAAAAGTTTTACTTTGGGGACGACGTTTTGTCAGCCTCGAATTCCTACGTTGAAACAACTATGTCATGATCGGAGACCCGAGTGGGCCTGGGGATGACACTGACGATGGCATGCAGCCTCTACAAAAAATCATGTCAAGTATGCTTGATCCTCGGGTGGGAAAATCGGCAACCTGATTCCACGTCCCAACATCTACAGCCTCAAGAAAGTCTTCGAACCTTCTTGGGCCTGAAGGCGGAGACCAGCGGACTTCGGGAAGTTTAAAGTCACCCGCAACCAATTGATACTTAAAGCTTAAGTCGGCCGCAGCATGAAATGCCTGCGAGAGTAAGCGATCAAAATTGTCGTTGGCGTTGGGAGGGCAATAAACAGCCAACGAGTAAGAAGAGCTTATTTTTTAGAGCAACCTGGAGCCAGCAGCTGCCTTCTACTGCGGAAAAATGCGGGAGGTCCAACGGCAAAAATCTAAGTGTTTGCTTAACGTAGACGCAACTGCCCCCACCACGGCTATCTTGCAATTATAGCCTAGAAGCGAGAGTTCGGAGTCAGCTACTGAGGCTGATGCCCATGTCTCAGTTACTAAAACAATATCCGGACAACGGACGAACACCAGAGTCTGAAGCAAAGGCATTTTATTAAGCAAGCATCTGGCATTTAAAACGAAAAGTTTGAAAGGAAAGGCTGTTTGTTTCTAAGGGAGGTGGGCTACATCGTCCAGTGCTGGTCTGCCCACGGAGTAAACGGTCCGGATGTAACCATCCGGTTTTGCAAATAATTTTGTGGCATCAAAAAATTCTGATGTGGATAAAAAGGTGTAGGTCTTGGGGGAGGGAATGACGGGCCGGTAAACTGATAAACATTGATAGCTAACTTATTTTCAGCTGAAAATCCGCGAGCCAGATACTGCAACACATTCCCGCCGATACGAAACTGAGGATCGAATGGATTAACTGATCCAATGTGGACACTAGCATGAGGAATACATTGGTAAAACGGCCGTGGTGGAAAGAAGTTAAGGGGTGGGAGACGCATTGCTTCCATTGGAGCAAGAGTTCTATTAAACGGCGGGAAAATCTACACATTCGGCGTAACTGCCTCGATATGAGGGCTGGGGGGCAGTTGGGAACACGCTACGTTTTGAGTCGGGGTATTTGAGGCACTGTTAGCCGATTGGGGAGGAAAAGATTTTATAATGTTGCTGGATTCGTCGGGTGTCCGAGTGGCTGAGACAGCAACTGGATTTGCCTTTGACTTTGGCACATGCGTAAGCTTACTAGGAGTTGCTGTGGGAGTCGTTAGTGGCGTTTGTATACCAGGCGTGTTGTTGCTTCTAAAGATCTCAGCATCAATAGTAGTCAAATTACCTACGGTACTGATTATGTCATGACGTGCAGAGGCCGCAGATAGTGTTGTAGAGGACTTATTCAAACTTACATTAGGTGCCATTATCCTGGTGTTGGTTTTTGCCGATTTTAATTTATTCAGTCTTCGCTGCAGCGGTGTGAGGTCTGGCGAAACGGAGCAGCGCCATTTACGGCAGAATTCTCTAGTTATCTCCCTCCTCGGCAGGATAAAATCGACTTCTATCATGGAGAAAGGGGTAACTAAGATCGGCGAATTACGGCTAATCGAGCGCAGTCGTTTAGCTTGTGCGACACTGAAACTCAAGCCACAACTTTGTAGGAACAAATGCGCTCGCTCCATAGCAGATAAGTGGCTCGCAATGTTTCGCTGTACAAAATTAGGTTTGCGTTTAATTCTCTCCTCCGTTTCAGAACTTATTACCTCAATAAGTTTAAAAGCTTGTTCAAATACTTTTTCATAAGTACTGTTTATGTCGCCGTATATCAACTGATGAAGTATTTCGTCGGCTGAAGGCTTGCTACGACTAGCAGAGGCGTATTTTTGGACGAATGAAGGATCAAGAGGTTCTACATGTACTAAAGACATTTGTGAGTTAACCATATTTGCAGAAGGCGACGAACATATGCTGGCAACTGCTATGTATTCGGTGGCGATTCTAGCACCCGGAGACAGTGGGGAGGCAGTAGGCTTTCGTCTTTTAGCACGTGCTCTGCGGGGCATTACATACAAGATGAGTTTTTCGTTACAGTACAAGGAGCAAAACGTTGCTAACGTACTGAAAAACGCACTGAATAGCAAGTAATACTGTTATTTTACTACGAAATTTAGAATGAGATTGTCGGGAAAGGAGTCACTACAAAGGGTTTTTTACAAGATACGACTATTTTGCCAGGCTGTCAAACAAAACTGGGAAAAATTATGCCTTATATTGAAAGGCGACTTTTAAAAGGGACTCAAGTAAAAAACATGCATTAATTGCATAAGAATATCCAAGGAAATGCAAAGCTTCACTTATCTATGAATTTGAGCTGCGCGCACTAGTAATTTACTATCTAGAGTATCTCCTTCCTTTAGAATAATCTTTCATTAAAACTTATGTCTTTGCTTAACTTATCAGTTTTCATTTCAAAACTAAGTGAGCACCTGACCTCTGAAAGGATAAAACTATTTCGGACCTTTACCTCCCCAAACACTTAACTTATGAATCTTGAAAATTTTCCTCTCGGGATCCAGTGGCAGACAGTACATGTTCAATGTGTTTGACGTAAGTTATGTCGTTCCCGCGAACTAACGAACTACGGCTTACTAACCTCATAAACGGAGAGAGGTAAGGAAGGCCAGTAAGTGAATATCACCTTCTCAACATAGAGTTACTATTCAAAATGTGCAACGACCTGACCAGAGACCATGCAAGCGGCGCGAAGCTTACAAGCGGCGGAGTCCTCGTCACGTTAAAACAAATGCTACAGTAAAACAAACTTGAAAAGATTGTCAAAGGTCAAGTAGTCAAGTACTTCAGCACAGTACCCCCCTCCGAGACCGGAGGGCGGCGTGAACGACGCCGGAGGAAATACAAAGTTCTGGGAGAAATTAGTAACTAGACGATCGGGAAAGAGAACGTGACGTCCACTGAGGGTGATATATGCGGGAGGCACTGTTGGAGGCAGCTGAGTAGCTGTTGTAGTGGACAAGTTAAGGGTGGAGAAAGAGGTTGCGGTTTGATGCTGCGAACAAGAAAGAAGAGGAAGTATACGGGACGGAGGGATAGGTGGGGAAAATGGAAAAGGAGTGGGAGGAGGTATGGGATCAGCACATGCTCGTACTTGAGACACGTCCGGGGGCTCCTCTGCAACAGCAGCCTTAACCCGGTCGATGCTGACTACGTCCTCTTTGTCACCTCGCAGGATCCGAAAGGTCTTGCTGTTACGTGCAAGCACACGGAACGGTCCTTCGTATGGTGATTCTAACGGCTTCCGCACACGATCACACCGAACGAACACATGGGTGCAATTGGCTAAGCCTTTTTCAACATAAGGCTCGGTCGATGGAGCTCGAGGTGGAACCGGGGAAAGCGAGCGCATGAATTGTCGCAGACGATGCACAAAATTTTCGGGGGTCTCTTCGGCACCACGAGAGGTTGGGGTGACCATCTCACCTGAGAGTCGGAGGGTAGTGCCGAAAACCAATTCGGCTGCGCTGCAGTCCAAGTCTGACTTCAGTGCCACACGAATGCCAAGAAGTGCAAGTGGTACATTGTCTGACCAGTTTTCGGGATCTTCTGCGGCACGCAGTGCAGTTTTTAGCTGGCGGTGGAAACGCTCAACCATGCCGTTGGCAGCTGGGTGGCAGGCCTTCGTCCGAATACGTGTGCAGCCAAGGAAGTTGCGGAGAGTTAGGAAAAGTGTGGACTCAAACTGCGCGCCTCGATCACTCGTAATCATGGATGGCGCACCGAATATGGCGACCCAACGACTGACGAAGGCTTTCACAATGGTCTCAGCTTGCACATTCGGTAAAGGAAAGGCTTCCGGCCAACGGGTATAGCGATCAACGCAGGTGAGAAGGTGAGTATAGCCATTGGATGGAGGTAAAGGACCTACGACATCTAAATGCACATGGCTGAACCGTGCGTCGGGACTGAAGAACGTGCCCGATGGAGACTTGTTGTGGCGTTAAACCTTGTTACGTTGACAGCAAAGGCACGATCGTGTCCAAGCTTTCACATTCTTGTTCAACCCAGGCCATACGAACCTGTCCGCGAGGAGCTTCTGTGAGGCTCGAATCCCAGGATGGGAGAGTCCGTGGAGAGTTTAAAAAACAGCTCGACGCATCGAGGCAGGCACATATGGGCGATGAAAAGGAGTCGATACGTCTCAAAGGATGGAACGTCAACCAATTGAAGACTGTCAAAAGACTCGTCACCAGAACATCCAAAACGTCGTTGTTCAGCCGCCATAGCACTAAGATCGATCCCGTGTGAGAGGTGAAACGCCGAGAGGGAAGGTCTGGACAGCACGTCGGCCACCGTATTCTTCGGGCCATCAATGTGGCGAATGTCGGTGGTGAATTGCGAGATGTAATCCAAATGAGAAATCTCTCTCGGGTTATATTTGTCAGAATGGGATCGGGTGGAAAATGTAAGTGGTTTGTGGTCTGTGAAAATTGTGAAGTCACGATCCTCAAGGAAGTGTCGGAAATGTTTTACGGCTAGGTAAATGGCAAGAAGTTCACGACCAAACGTGCTATATCTCGTCTCAGCAGGTGAAAGCTTCTTGGAGAAGAATGCCAACGGTCGTGTCGAGTAGTTGATAAGCTGTTGGAGGACTGCTCCTACGGCAACGGTCGAAGCATCAACCATCAGGGACAATGTGGCTTCTGGCGCAAGATGAGTGAGCAAGGTAGCATCAGCAAGGGAGGTCTTTATTCTCTCAAAAGCAGTCAGCGCGTGGCCACGTAACTCAAGGGGACCCTTGGGACCAGAGAGCAAGTTGGTGAGTGGCAGCATAACGTCGGCACAGTTCGGTAGGAACCGGCGATAAAAGTTTACCATGCCAAGGAAACGTTGCAATTGACGCTTGGAGGTTGGTGGAGGAAAGTCACGAATGGCCTCAACCTTGGAAGAGAGGGGACGCAAACCTTGTGCATCGACATGGTGACAAAGAAAATCAAGGGACGGCAAACCCAGAACACACTTCGAAGGGTTAATGGCCACGCCAAACTGATCGAGGCGGTCAAACACTAAGGCAAGATGCTCTTTGTGTTCCTCAGCATTTGGACTGGCCACGAAGAGGTCATCGATGCAGGCGTACACAAATGGGAGACCACGTAGGACTCGGTCAATGAACCTCTGAAATGTTTGGGCAGCATTGCGAAGACCAAATGGCATGCGAATAAATTCGAACAGGCCGAATGGTGTGGTGACGGCAGTTTTGGGAACATCCTCAGGAGCGACAGGAATCTGATGGAAGGCCCGAACAAGGTCAATCTTCGAGAAAACCGACTTGCCGAAAAGAGCTCCAGCAAAATTTTCAAGATGAGGGACGGGATAACGATCCGGGATAGTCGCATTGTTGAGGGCGCGATAGTCACCACAGGGCCGCCAGTCGTCTGATGTCGCCTTGGGCACCATATGCAGAGGGGACGCCCATGGACTCTCGGACGGCCGAATTATGCCCAGTTACAGCATGTGCTCAAATTCGGCCATCGCCGCTTGCAGACGGGACGAAGCCAGTAGTCTAGGCCGTGCGAATACTGGGTGGACAGAGATGCAAGTGTGGTGGACGTCATGCTGGATCTCACCACTGCGAAACTGGGGTTTGATTATGTTGGGGTGTTGGAGGAGCAGGTCTCGGTATGGGCAAGCAATACCTGTGTCCAGAACAGATAAATTGCAGGAGCCATTAAAGGGTGTAAGACCGCGGACAGAAAGACCAGTTGTGCGGTCGAGGAGACAGGAACGCCGACAGTCAATAAGGAGATCAAACTCGGCTAGGAAGTCGGAACCAAGGATCGCATGAGGCACATCGGCAATCACAAATATCCAGGAGAATGATCGACGTAAAGCAACGTTTAGCGTTAGGGAACGACTACCAAAAGTGGAAATGGGGGAACAGTTTGCAGCTTGGAGATGTAGACCAGGGCTGGGATAGCGGCGGTCAACTGGAGTGGGGGGAACCACGCTGATCTGGGCTCCGGTGTTCACCAGGAGACGCCTGCGAGTCACATTGTCGCAGACATAAAAGGTGCGACCAGAGCTGGGAGAACCAGAGAAAACGGTCGCGTCTATTCTCTGGTTGGCTGGTTTCCCTGTTTCGGTTTAAATGAACAAGGGCAAGAACATTTTCGAGCCGTGGCGGCAAAGTTTGCGTGATACCAACACACATTGGCTGTGCGAGGTCGCGAACTTGAACGATGACGGCTGGGTGAGCGACTACAGGTAATGCGAGCAAGCTGTAGTTTTAGGGAGGCTATCTCATTCGCCATAGCCGACATCTGTTGCAGTAACTGCTCGTTAACCGTTGAAGAGGATGTGGAAATCTGAGCAACGGAAGGTGGCTGGAACCGTTGAACCTCTATCATTCGGTCTGCCCTTTCAGCAAGATGTGAAAGTGTAAGGTCTTGCGAGCAGGATGCCAAAATCGTTTGGACATCTGCAGGCAGCCGCTCTAGAAACATCTCTTTAACGAGTTTCTCGTCGACCTGCATGTCTTCTAAGAGAGTACGCATTCGTCGGAGAAGTTCTGAAGGTTTTTGGTAGCCCAGTGATTCCTCCTTGATCAACTGGTGGTAGCGTTGTCAGTCAGATACTGCATTGAGACGAAGGATTTCCGCCTTCAGAGCAGAATAGGGAGCGTCTGCAGGGGGTTTCACTAACAAGGGTTGAACTTGTGAGATAATATTGGCAGGGAGAACCTGCACAAATTTGTGGTATTTCGACCACTCCTTCGTAATGTTGGCGGAGTAAAAGGCTGACTCAATGCGGATAAAATAAAGTTCAGGGGCGTGTTGCCAGAAGTCAGGCAAAGTGAAATGGACGGCATGAACAGACTCGGCAGGAACGTCAGGTTGTTGAGTTGAGGAAGACATAATAAGCAAAATATAGGTAGCACAATATCGTGAAAAGGTTAGCGGGAAATGTAAATGAACTAAAATTTATCAAATAAATACAGGACGTTAAATGTCATTAAATGTTACAGAAGGAAAGAACTTAAGTCTGCGCTAACGTCGGGGGTCACCAATGACGTAAGTTATGTCGTTCCCGCGAACTAACGAACTACGGCTTACTAACCGCATAAACGTAGAGAGGTAAGGAAGGCCAGTAAGTGAATAAAGTTAATATTCAAAATGTGCAACGACCTGACCAGAGAGCATGCAAGCGGAGCGAGGCTTACAAGCGGCGGAGTCCTCGTCACGTTAAAACAAACGCTACAGTAAAACAAACTTGAAAAGATTGTCAAAGGTCAAGTAGTCAAGTACTTCAGCACATGTTTAAGTGGAAACTCTTACTAAGATTTTTATGACCCTATGTTTTTAAGTGGTTCATTAAACCATGTTACTACTCCGCCCTTGTAGCATTGATTTTGATGCCATCCCCTCATTTCAACCCCAAGCGATTTGCCGACGACCATGGCGGATTCCTCTGTCTTCGTCAGCTGCTAATGGTTTGGTCGGTCAGCAAAGAAGTAACATGGTCCCTTGTCTCCTCACTTTGATGACCCCTGCAGCCTTTAGTGTATCCTCCTCTCCTGGACTCTTGGCGGATTCTGACCAGCTGCGTTTGGTTCCGCCTGTTTCACCACCTTGGTGGTTGCTTCTGCTCTCGTCCCAAAAATATCATGAATGCATCTGCAACGAATAGCCTCGTCTGGATTAGGAATTCTGCTATGACGAGAAATGTTTTGAACTTTGAAACACTCCCACCCACAGGACCGTTTTTTCTCACCTACATACTTACCGTATCATGAGCGACATTTTTTATCTTTAAAAATGAATCATATCACATCCAGTTTGCCTTTTCCAAAGAATGAAGACGCTTTTCTGACTGTTCG